CTGCTTTAAAGCCAGATATGCACTATCTGCGTTGCCCCCCGCTCGGCCGTGCCTCCCAGGAGTTTACGACGGTGGCGACAATTGCGCATTGCGTAGCCTCCCAGGGAGCAGCAAGGTCTCGGCTGAATCCGCGTGGCCCCCGACTCCGCTGGACCTCCCATGAGCCCACGAAAGTGGCGACAGTTGCGCAGTTCGCAGCCACCAAGGTAGCAGCGAGGTCTCGTCCGGGTCCGCGTGATCCCCTCCCCCGCTGGACCTACCAGGAGCCCACGACAGCGGCGACAATTGCGCAGTTCGCAGTCCCCTCCGGAGCTGCGAGGTCTCGGCTGGATCAGCGTGGCCCCCGACTCCCTCCGCTGGACACTCTCCCAAGAGCCCGCGGAAGTGGCGACATTTGCGCAGTTCGAATTTACCCATGGTGCAGCGAGGTCTCCTATGGGTCAGTTTGGCCCCCGTCTTCGCAGGACCTCTCATGAGCCCACGAAGGTTACGACAATTGCACAGTTCGTAGCCACCCAGGGAGCAGCGAGGTCTCGCCCTGGTCAGCGTGGCCCCCGACTCCGCTGGACCTCCCAGGAGCCCACGAAAGTGGCGACCGTTGAAAAGTTCGCAGCCACCAAGGTAGCAGCGATGTCCCGCTCCGGTCTGCGTGACCCCCACATTTGCTGGACCTCCCAGGAGCCCGCGTACAGTGGCGGCGGTTGCGCAGGTCGCAGCCAGCTGGGGAGCAGCGAGGTCCCGCCTGGGTCCGCGTGTGCCTCCACCCTGTCGGACTTCCCAGCAGCCCACGAAATTGGCGACCGTTGAAAAGTTCGCGGCCACCCAGGGAGCAGCGAGGTTCCACTTGGGTCCGCGTGCATCCCCGTCTCCGCTGGACCTCCCATGAGCCCACGAACGTGGCGGCAGTTGTGCATGTCGCAGTTCCGTAGTGAGCTGCGAGGTCTCGTTTGGGTCAGCGTGTTTACCGACTTCGCTGGACCTCGCAGGAGCCCACGCAAGTTGCGACAGTTGCGCAGCTCGCACCTCCCTTAGGAGCAGCGAGGTCCCGCCTGGGTCCGCGCGTGCTCCCCTACTCCGCTGCCAGGAGCCCACGAAAGTGGCGACGGCTGCGCAGAGTGCAGCTTCCCAGGGAACAGCGAGGTCTCGCCTGGGTCCGCGTGCTCCCCGACACCGCTGGACATCCCAGGAGCCCACGAAAAGGTCGACAGTTGCGCAGTTCGCAGCCACCCAGGAAGCAGCGCGGGAGGAGGCAGGAGGCAGGAGGAGGGAGAGGAGGAGGAGGAGGAGGAGGAGGAGGAGGAGGAGGAGGAGGAGGAGGAGGAGGAGGGAGAGGAGGAGGAGGAGGAGGCGGAGGAGGAGGAGGAGGAGGTGGAGACCACAATATTATTCCTAAACTGAAAATCAACACAGGAGAGTAGGACAAATTGCAGCTGGTATTATGCCCGCGCGGACTTGACGCAAGCATGGGAAAGACATTGGTTTCAGCAATCTCGTCCAGAACCCTCAATGTCATTTCACTACGTGGTGCATTCGCGTTTATCTAGCATGTGCCCAGTGCACAATCCGTATCAAGCCATTCAATGCGAGCCACATGAGCGCGTCGAAATACGTCCAAGCCCACGCGTCCTTGGCACATTTCAAGATAGAGGGCCCTCCAAGAACAGACGAATTGCTCGAGACGTACCCAACCCCTTCTCCACGCGAGGCGAATCGTTGCCTGAAAGCTCCATTCAAAAGAACGCACCGCCAGATAGTCACGATCAACGCTGCCCTCATCTCCGCTGTGCTTCCCGAGCCCACGTCAGTGGCGATAGTTGTGCAGCTCGCAGCCACCCAGGGAGCAGCGAGGTCCCGCCTGGGTCCGCGTGGCCTCCGACCCCGTTGGATCGCGCAGGAGCCACCGAATGCCGCGACAGTTACGCAATTCACAGCATCCCAGGGGGCAGCGAGGTCTCAAACAGGTGCCCGTGCCCCCCGACCCCGCTGGACCTCACAGGAGTCCACAGACGTTGTGAAAGTCTCGCAGGTCGCAGCCTCCCAGAGGGTCTCCGCTGGACCTCCCGGGAGCCCGCGGAAGTTGCGACAATTGCGCACTGCGCAGCTACCCAGGGAGCAGCGAGGTCTCGGCTGGATCGGCGTGCTCCCCGACTCCGCTGTGCCCCCCAGGAGCCCACGGAGGCGGCGACGGTTGCGCAGTTCGCAGCCACCCAGGGAGTTGCGAGGTCCCGCCTGGGTGTTCGTGGCCCCCGTCTCCGCAGGACCTCCCAGGAGCCCACGAAGGCGGTGAACGTTGCACAGTTCGCAGCCTCCCAGGGGGCAGCGAGGTCTCGTCTGGATGCGCGTGCTCCCCGACTCCGCCGTACCTCCTAGGAGCCCACGAAAGAGGCGACAGTTGCGCAGTTCGCAGTCCCCCAGGGAGCAACGCAAGAGGAGGCAGAAAGAGTGCAGGACGAGGAGGGGGAGAAGGAAGAGGAGTCGCGACCACAGTGCTTTACATGTAATATGAGAATCCAACACGGGAGGGCTGCAGCGAAGGACGACGAGGCAGACGCCAGGAGAATAGACGCAGGGAGGAAAAAGGAGGCGGAAGCGGGAGGTGGAGACCACAGCGCTCTATTCAAAACGAAAACCAACACAGGAGGGCTTGGAAAAATTCTTTACGCTTCGCGTATCCCCACCAGCCCATCTCAAAACAGCAACTCTTGCGAAGCATGCCGACGGTCGTGGTTTTCAGGTGTGTTTCCGCCTGCCCCCGCATATCTCCCATGTTCCTCCTTCCTCCCGCCTCCTTGTACATCCTCCTTGTGAGGGGAGCGGGAGAAGGACGAGGCGGAGGAGGAGGGAGAGAAAGCGCTCCTCGTGGTTTGAGTCGTTTGGGGTTTCTCGTCCTGGTGTGAGTCGTTCGGGCCCTTCTTCCTGGTGTGAGTCGTTCGGGCTCTTCGTGGTGTGAGTCGTTCGGGCTCTTCGTCCTGGTGTGAGTCGTTCGGGCTTTTCGTGGTGTGAGTTGTTCGGGCCCCTCGTCCTGGTGTGAGTCGTTCGGGCCCCTCCTCCTGGTGTGACTCGTTCGGGCTCCTCGTGGTGTGAGTCGTTCGGGGCCCTCGTCGTGGTGTGAGTCGTTCGGGCTCGTCGTGGTGTGAGTCGTTCGGGCTCCTCGTGGTGTGAGTCGTTCGGGCGCCTCGTCCTGGTGTGAGTCGTTCGGGCCCCTCCTTCGGTGTGAGTCGTTCGGGCTCTTCGTGGTGTGAGTCGTTCGGGCCCCTCGTCCTGGTGTGAGTCGTTCGGGCTCCTCGTGGCGTGAGGCGTTCGGGCACCTCGTCCCCTTTTGGGGCGTCTTGGGGGCCTCTTGGCGGCCCCAGGGGCTTCTAGGAGCGTCTTGGGTGCCTTGGGGGAGCCTCTTCGGGCCTCTTGGGAGCCTCTTGGAGACCGTTTGGGGCGTCTTGGGGGCCTCTTGGCGGCCCCAGGGGCTTCCAGGAGCGTCTTGGGTGCCTCGGGGGAGCCTCTTGGGGCTTCTTGGGGGCCTCTTGGGGGCATCTTGGGGGCCTCTTGGAGGCCTCTTGGGGGCCTCCTGGGGGCCTCTTGGGGCCATCTTGGGGCCTCTTGGTGCCTCCTGGGCGCTTCTTGGGGCCATCTTGGAGGAAATCGATCAAAGAAGAGGGGAGCTTTAATCAGCGATGCCCCCTCAGAAAAGGCAAAATGCGGCCAAAATCAATGTAAAATCAATGATTTTGGCTTGAAAGAAGAGGGGAGCTTTAATTAGCGCTGCCCCCTCAGAAGGCCAACATGGGGCCAAAACCGTAGTAAAATCAATGATTTTGGCTTCAAAGAAGAGGGGAGCATTTTGTCTCCCTCCCCCCGTCGGGGCCAGAATCCTCGTGAGGGGTGTCGTTGTTTAGCCCTCCCAGGAGTCGAAAAAGACCCCTCTGACCACCCGCGAGGCGCCCTCTCCAGGCCCAGGGGGAGGGGGTAGGGGGAGGGGTAAACCCCTCCCCGAAGGGGAAGAAGGGGGGTTGAGAACAGAGCGGGTTCTCTAAACCACTCACGCCCAAAGGGCTGGTGGGACTAGTTGGTCGACGAAGCGTCGGCAAGGTTTCTTGGTGTTCCGCGCGCGCGTGCACGTCATCACCCTCCTCAGCGCCGTCGCACCACCGCCGTTACCATCATCGCCAATCGTCGTCATTGCCGACATCAGTATCACAAGCATGTTCATCACCGACATGAGCATCATAATCGTCGTCATTACAATCAACGCCATCATTGGTTTTGCGGTCGTCATCGCAATCACCGCCACCACCATCGATATTGTCAGTATCGTTGCCGTCGTTGTCGGCGTCATCATGATAATGCGCCCGACCGGGTCATCGACCTGCATTGAGATGCCCGCTTGCCAGCGCCGCTTGTGATACGTGCTGGGAAATTCTCATCGGCAAGCGCCATCGCGGCCGCTTCAGCTGTGCCAAACCAGTTGGTCGCTCTGCGCCCGAGCGTGCGCGCGCCAGCGCCGTCGTAGGGACGCGCTAGCAGATTCCAATTGAGAGCCGACTGGTTTTGCCAAACAAGTGGCGTGTGGGCGGGTGGGACGTCTGCACGAGCAGTGGGCTTCAAGACGGTCGAAGTGAGGTGCATGACCCAGGCACCGTACAGGTCGCACTTGGAGGGTGCAAGAGTCTGCCGTCTGGGTCCACGCTGAATTTCCGCCTTTGGCATGAATCTGCTGTGCAGCCTGAACTTGGCGCCGACATTGGGTCCCAAGGGGATCCGGGATGGCCCCAGGCCCGACCCCACGCTTCCCTCGCGCCCTGGGACCCCCGGGTCGCCTCCCAAGGCCCCCCGACGACGCGGGCTTTTGGCCAAGGCCATTTACTTATCACATGCGTAGGCACCTGCTTTTATCGTCTCGCGCGGGATTGTCGAACCTGACATTATGTCGTTAGCCTCGTGTGCTATGGACATGCCTTCCCTGCTTATGTCTCTCCCTCCCGCCGCTGTCGCACAAGCTGGATCAGGTGGGCACGAGATCATGCCTCTGCGGTATGGCGAGAAGATCCCTGCGTTTAACGAGGACCGTTCCAGAGAAGTTGTGCACGGTTTTCTAAGGTCGGGGGCGTCCAAGCGGCGGGCGAGGATTAGGAGGGTGGATGACATGACCATGGCCATGAAATCTCCCTGATGTCGCAGTTTGTTTGGGGGGACAGCACATCCCTGGCCGTTTTTGGTCCGCGCACATGCTCCGTGCCGCAAGGCGCACCCCCTCACCTCTTCTTGGCCTCCCTCTTCGGCGCACCCGACAACAAGCAGCCACAGCAGAGGAGCGTCGTGACACGATACAGGTCAGTAGCTTTCGCGGCCGCAAGGAGCGGGCGTATCCGTCCCCCCCCCTTCGGGTGTTGTTGGAGGAACCCCTGGTCCAAGGTGCCCCCAGCTTTTCGCTCCACTTTGGAGCCCCTGGGGCCCTCTGGGCCCGGCCCCATGAGGGGTGCTCTGGAGGCCGCCGGGGCATCCCTGGAAAGTCTTGCAGCACTTTGGCCAGGATCACTTCCAGCAACACCCGACCTTTGGATCAAGTCGGCGCTCGAGCTGAGCCCTGCAAGACGGCCCGCCACCCCGCGGCAAGATGCCGACCTACATCGTCTCTGGTGGTGAGCGGGGCGTGCGGGGACGGAGCAAAGGGCCTCGCCTTCGAGGATCGAAGGAGTTGCCATCTCAGGCGACGGAAGGCGGCGGAAGTTAAACGAGGGCGGCTCCGCAGGCGGAAGCAGGTGGAAGTATAAGATGCGCCCAGAAGAGATGGCAATGTTTTGGGGTTCGGGATTCCGGAACCCGCCACATATCCCGTCGCCATATCGGAAAGAGCGTGTTCTACCGCTGCTGGCGGAAAACCGGGGGGGGTCACTGGGTGTTCCCAACCCGTCCCCCCCCCTCGAAAACCGGGGGGGGGGTCACTACCGGTTCGAACCCCCCCCCTGGTCCATCATGAAAAGGGGGGGGGTCACTACCGGTTCGAACCCACCCCCCTTCGCCGCCGGCAGACGATTCCCGCTCCTCGGGACAGTTGGACAGTGGTGGGGATACTGAGACAGTGGTGGGGAAGGTGGTGGTGGAGACAGTGGTGTGGGGACAGTGGGACAGTGGTACAGACAGTAGTGGGGACGGCGGTGGTGGAGACAGTGGTGATGGTGGGGACAGTGGTGATGGTGGGGACAGTGGTGAAGGCGGTCGTGAGGACGGTGGTGGGACAGTAGTACGGTGGGGTGAGTAGTGGGGATTGGGGACAGTGGGACAGTGGTGGGGACAGTGGAGAAGGTGGGACAGCACAGTGGGACAGCGGCGGGGACAGTGGGGACAGTGGGACAGTGGTGGGAACTGTGGGGACAGTGGGACAGTGGTGGGGACCGTGGGGAAAGTGGGGAGTGGGGCCGTGGTGGGACAATGGTGGGGAGAGTGGGGACAGTGAGACACTGATGGGGGCACTGATGGGAACAGCGCGAACAATGGTGGTAACGGTGGTAACAGTGGGGACAGTGGGACAGTGGTGGGGACTGGGACAGTGGTGGGGACGGTGGTGGTGGGGACAGTGGTGTGGAGACAGTGGGAATGTGGTAGGGACAGTGGGACAGTGGTGGTGACAGTGGTGGTTGGGGCAGGTGGGGACAGTGGGGACGGTGGTGGGAACAGTGGGGACAGTGGTGTTGGTGACAATGGTGCTGGGGACAGCAGTGGGGGATGTGGTGCGGACGGTGGTGGGGACCCGGAAGTCGTTTGCCGGCGGTGTGTGGAGTGGGGGGGGGTTCGAACCGGTTTTTAGTGACCGACGAGTGGGTTTGCAAAAGAGTTCTTCTTTGAGAAGCCGAATAGGAGCATGTCTCAAGCAGCGTGTTTTCTGTTCCCGCCGGGCGGTGCGGCCAGTCTCCCGCCGCGCACCTCGGGCCGTCTCCCTCCTCCCCCCCTCCAGCAATAGAGCGGCCGCCCCTGCGCGCTGCGCCGGGCGCCGGGCGCCGACGCCGCCACGAGGGCGGGCGCCGGGCGCTGCCGCCCCCGGCGCCGGACGCCGCAGCCTGCCCCGGCCCGGGCCAGGGCGCCGGGCGCCAGACGCCAGGCGCCGCAGCTTGCCCCCGCCGCCTGCCCTCGCCGGGTTCCCCTCGGTCGGGCCAGGGCGCCTCCCCGGGCGCCGCCCCGGGCCAAGGCGCCGCCCCGCCGGGCGCCGAGGACCGCCGCCCTGGGCGCCGGGTGCCGCCGCCTGCCGGAGATGACCCTGCCTCGGAGGGCCTCAGCAAAGGCGTGGCTAGCGACGGCAGCTACGAAGACAGCTATGAAGGCGGTGCAGAAGAGGAAGGGCATAAGTACCCTCGCCAAGGACTCCCTGAGCCTCTACCAGGCGACCCTCCAGGCCGACAGAGCATGGAGGGCCAGGAAGCAGGCAAAGGGCTCGATCTGGAAGGGGTATACCAGGGCGCAGTGCATCGCAGAGAGGGTGCAGATCGAGCATCCGGCGAGCGCCCGGGGGCCACGCATCCCCCGGGAGCCGAGCATCCGGGGACGCCGCGGGCAGAAAAAGGTATGATTTTTGTCATACCTTTTTCTGTCCGGCGGGCCGCGGCGTGCTTGCAGCCAGGGCATTCCCGAGGCGGCCTGGAGCACAGGGATTGGCCCCGGACCCTCGCGGGTGGCGACGCGGGGCCCTTTGTCGCCACCGCTGCCGCCGTCGTCGCCGCCGCCGCTGGTCGTCGCGGTCGCCGTCGTCGTCGCGGTCGCCGCCGCTGTCGCCGTCGTCGTCGTCGTCGCCGGTGTCGCACGTGCTATCGCGGGGGACTGGGAGGGCGGCGACCCCGCGGACCCTCCCCCCCTCAGCTCCACGGCACGGTCCTGCAGTCCAGCTGAGGACTGACCGGCGGTGCCGAGGCCCGGACCGGCCGGGAGCCGAACATCCGGCGAGCGCCCAGGAGGCACGCCTCCCCCTCGCCTCCCCCTCCCCCGCCCCGTGCTCTGCTCGTCCCCTCTCCCCCTTCCTCCTTCCCCTGCCTTTCCGCCCTCTCCTCTTGCCTTCCCGCCCCGTGCCCCTCCCCCCTCCTCCCGCCTCTCGGCCGGGCCCTCCTTCCTCAGCTTACCCTGGACAGGCGCCCCCCTGAGACCCCCGTCCGTGGGACGGCGAGGCTGGGGGCTCGGGGAGGTCTCTCCCCCGGAGGGCCCCTGAGACCCGCGCCATTCCTCGGCGCGTGGCCGGGCGGGGTGGCAGCGCGCCCCCCTGAGACCCCCGTCCGTGGGACGGCGTGGCCGGGGGCGTGTGGTGCCTGGGACCTTCCCTGGAGGGCCCTTGAGACCCGCGCCTCTCCGCGGCGCGTGGCCGGGCGGGGCGGCCCCCTTTCCCCCCTCTCGGGGCCCTCCCCCCCTGCCCCTCTCCCTCCCCCCGTCTCCCTCGCCCCCCCCTGGGCCCTTCTCTCCTCCTCCTCCTCCTCCTCCTCCTCCTCCTCCTCCTCCTCCTCCTCCTCCTCCTCCTCCTCCTCCGGCCGAGGCCCGCCAGGACTCGGGGGGGGCGCCCCGACCGAGGAGCAGGTGCGACCCGGGCGGTGGGGCGGGCGGGAGGGCCGCGCCGCGTACCCACCTCGCGCCGCCAGTCGGCTCGGTCTTGGCCGGGTCGCTGGCGCGCGTTGGGGCAGGGGCCGGCCCTGGCACCTTCGTCGCACCTCCCCCCACTGTCCGCAGCCAGACCAGGACGGCGAACCCGGGGGGGGGCGGCCGCGCCCAGGGTGGGGTGATCGCAGCTCGCCACCTCAGGCGCCTGGTGCGGGCTGCCGCTCGTGGCCAGGACAGGGCATGGCTGGCCGAGCCCGCGCAGCGGGAAGCCCTCCAGCGGCCAGCGGGCACCGGGGCCACGGCGGCAGACCTCAGCGCGCAGGGAGCCACGCTACCAAAGGTTCGAGCGTGGGTTCGCCTCGCCTTGCAGGGCGCCCTCCTGCGCGATGCAACCGGGGCGGTGGCCGCGTGCCGGTTCTGCGGCGCCTCGCTCGAGACCTGGGCCCACCTTGAGCAGTGCCCCCCGGCGGTGGCAGCGCTGGGGCGCGCGGGGCCGGCGGCAGCGGGCTGGGCGAGCAGCCCCCCCCACGGCCGCCGAGGCGCGCCGGCTGGAGGCAGCTGCGGAGGAGGCAGCTGCGGAGGCTGCCGCGCGGGCCCCATGATAGAACCAGAGCGGAGTAGCGAGGTATAAGAAGTGGCGATAAGCTGGCCCCCTTCCGACTCGTCTTCGGCCCCCTCGCCCCCCCGCCCTCGCCCCCTCGTCGTCCTGGCCCCCTCGCCTCCTCCCCGCCCTCCCCTCCTCCCTCCCTGGCCCTCGCCCCCCGCCGGCCCGCCTCTCTCCCCCCCCCATATGGAAGCCGCCGCAGGCTGAAAAAGGTATGAATATTTGTTCATACCTTTTTCCGTGCCCTGGTGCCCGGCCCTGACCCGCGCCAGAGTGAGGCATGGACAGGAGGCCCCTGATCCCGGGGGACGCCCGCACTGACGACCCCGTCCGGGGGGCACCCATGGGCGCACCGGAGCTTGTTGGCCCCGGTTGGCCCAGCCTCCGGCGCGGGCCCGGGGGCTGGGGGCTGGGGGGTGGCCCCGTGCCGGGGCCGGGGCGGGCGTCCTTCGGGGGGGGGGGGTTGCCGGGAATGTTCGGACGGTTCGGGGAGTCCCGGGGCTCGCCGGTGAGCACCCCGGGGCGGCCAGCCCACGTGAAGCTTGGCGCTGGCCAAGCTTGCCATGCGGCGGGCCGCCCCCGGGCGCCATCGGGGTGTCCGGTGGCTGGCCTGGGCACGTCTGGAGTGCTGCCACTCGCCGTGCGATGTCGCCCCGTGCATTGCCACCCCGCTCTGGCGAGAGTGCCTACCGAGCAGCCACCCGCCCCAAGCGTGGCTGCCGGAGGCTACCCACCGAGCGGCACTCGTCCGGCCTAGCGTCGGGGGGGCCGCCGGGGGACCCCCTCCCCAGAGGGCTGGTGCGCAGGGGCCCCCCGCGTCAGCGTCGGGCGCCACCCACCAGACCCCCTGGCCGCGGGGAGGGGCAGCAGCCGCGGGCTGGGCGCTAGGAGGCCCACCTGCGGGAAAAGTAAGAGCCCGTGCCGGGCGGCCCGGCCGGGCGCGCCGCCCGACTGTGGGTGCGCGTCAAGCGGTCGGAAGGAAGGAAGGAAGCAGAGCCACCTGCATAGGCGGCGTCATGAGAAAGGGTTATGTGACCCAGAGTGGTGGGCAATGTTGTGAAAACCCTCCGCCCATGAAGATGAGTTTGTAGGTCCCGTTTTGATTTGTATCATGTGTGGCGCGAGTGTGCAGCATAGTCACAGGCCTGGTGAGGGCCTTGCTGGGCCTTGTCTGGAGCCCAAGCATGCTGGTCTAGCCACCCGAAGGTCAAGGTTGAGGCGATGCCTTCGCCCTGATGCGACGGATGCCCACCCACCCCCCGAAGTTCGGCGATCTGCCCGAGCCGTGGTTGGAAGTCCGAGCTTTGTTGGAGGGGAGGCTGGTCCCATCGGGAGTCTCGAAGCGGAGCGCTGACCCTGCGGCGCTTGCTGCGTTTGCTGCTTGCGCTTGATGTGTACCGAGTGGCGCAGTTGCACGGATTTGCAGATTCTCGTGATGCGGTTGAATTTTGCCGTGCCGGGAGCGCCGAGAACGCGAGGCTCAGCTCCTGAGATGAATATAGCTGGCACGCTAGACGTGGGCCCCCCAGAGCCCAGAGCAGAGTAGAGGGGGAGAAGGAGGAGGAGGAGGGAAAGGAGGAGGAACAGGCAGGATGCACGGAGCAGGAGAAGGAGGAGGAGCAGGAGGAGGAAAGGATTGGAGGAGTATGATGAGGGGGAGAAGAAGGAAGCAGTGGTGAGTAGAAGAAGCAGGAGCGAAGAATAAGCATAATAAAAAAGAGCGAAAGAGGAAGGTTGAGTGACAAAAGAAGCAGAGGAAATATGAGAGAGGAGAGGAATAAGGCGGCACTTCGTTACAAAGAGTAAGATGTAGGATTGGGTTTTGCCCCCACGACGGTCGTTACAGTGTAGATCCCTAAGGGCTTCGCCCCTTGCTGCCGGCCCCCTCTCTCGGATAATGGGGTGTGAAGGTATGCAAGAGCTATGTTGTGAGGCCTGATCGCCGTCGTGAAGCAGCGTCGAAACTCCGAGCGGGGGCCACTTGGGTTCTTGGGGCCGTCTTGGGACCCTCTTGTGCCGTCGTGCTGTCTCTTGAGCCGTCTTGGGGCCCACTTAAACCGTCTTGGGGCGCTCTTGAGAGCCTCTTGGGCCGTCTTGGGGCGGTCTTGGGGTGCCTCGCGGGCCGTCCTGGAGCGTCGGAAACCCATACAGGCGAGCGTGCCAAAATCTATCAATAACGTAGGGAAAATCGCAGATGTTGGCATCGTGTGCCCTTCTGAGGGGTGCCTTTGGAGCGCTCTCGGGGGCCTCTTGGGAGCCTCTTGGGCCGTCGTAGGACCATCTTGGGCGCCTTGGAGCACTCTTGGGCCGTCTCCGAGGCCTCTTGTAACAGCTTGGGAGCCCTGTTATGAAGGAATGCGGCCTCGAAAGCGTGATTATTGCATACTTTACCAAGGTTTGTGATTTCGGGAACGCGATGAACGCGTAATGTACAAGGGATCGTGGTTTCGGGGACGCAGCGATTGCGCAATATACAACAGAGTGTTGCCTCGGAGACGCAAACATAGCGTGATTTACAATGAAGGATGGCCCAGGCATCGCGAGTACATTGTAGTCTGCTAGGATGTATGGCCTCGGGGACGTGCATCTTGTGTAAGTGACGAAGGATTCTGGCCTCGGGGCCGCGAATTCTGCGCAATCTCAAAGGCTTATGGCTTCGGGGGGTTGTACGTTTCCCAGGAAACCCCATGAATATTGATAACCTCCCCATAAGTGGTAACCAGGGCGCTTTTCGACTCCCCCCCTCGCGCGGGCTTCAACAATTCACAGTAGGAAACAGAAGGCAGGACCAGAACATTGGAGACTGGAAACTGGAACTGGCGCAGGGAGCCGCGAGCCTAATCTGCGGAGCCTCGTGGCCCCACAAGGGTGCCAACAGATGCTCTACGCGGCGATATTTCGAATCGAGTTGGCTCATTAGCGGGACCATTCGCATGTGTATCCCATGCTGATGGCGCCGAGGGGCAAGCGTACACAACGCAAGCCAGACCATAAAAGTATTGCGTTTGCATGTTTCCATTAAGTTGTCAGGTTCGTGATAGCATATCTGATACACAGCACTTCAGTTTTATTTCCATGACCTACATCACCGCGTACGTGCGTCGACGAATTGTCAGTGCTTCAGAAAGCGGTGTCAGTGTATTGCTCCCGTTCGTGAATTCTGGGAATCAGTGAACACGTGCAAGTGTTAGACTCCTATACGAGGGCATCTGTTGTATGTATCATGTTGGGCCCCTATGCCACCACCCGATTGAGATGGCCACTACATGATATTCGCGCGAATCTTCAACAGAAGGAGTCCCTGCATGAATCCAATATAGTAAAATGATTTCGACACACCGGTGACAGATTGTAGAATTCTTACCCTCCTCCCTCGCCGGAGGACTGAGTCTACGGCGCTGCGCCGGGCTGAGCCGACAGAGTCCGACACAAGACCGAACATCGATGTGCTCTGTTCTTGCGCAGACTTTGCGAGCAGTGTCGTGAGGGGTTCACAAGGACGATTTGTCATAGCCTTGCTCCCTTACCTTTCATTTTTGCACCCGTCGGTGTTTGCCGTCCTCACTTTCTCTCGCCACATCCGATGGTTGTTGCTTGCATCTTCTCCTGATCCGGCGGAAGTCGTATTTGCCCTCCGTCCCACACGATCTGTACAGCCCCATACGACAGCTTCGTGTCGTGTCGACCGGCGACGACCCCGCCAGCGGCGTTCAACTTCGAACGCCGCGGGCGACCCAGAATGGTTCGATGTGCAACGATTTGGATGTTTCAGAGAAGGCCGATCGTTCAAGGTTGAACGATCCCCATGGTGTCAGAAACCAACGCCGAAGTCGGCATGACACGAACCTGACGTAAACCTTCCGCCCCTGATGTGCCTTGTTTCGCCGTGTCCGCAGGCACGTCCCCGGACATTGCCCCAGACGTGCCCTGCCACGTCCCCGCACGCACCCATGCACACCAGGGCTGGACCTAAACGCTGTTTTGCTGGATTTCGGCTGTGTTATGTTTTTCGTGTTGGGAGTGAGTTACAGGGGTACAGGTAGAGCAAAACGACGAACGGGACGAAAACAACACGAAAATTATCGTTTGGGTCCAGCCCTGCTGCACACGACCTCCAGACACGACCCTGGCCACCTCCCCGACACATCCCTAGGCACGCCCCTTGAAAGGCCCCCCTGCCACGGACCCACGCCTCAGGGCAGCTGTTCCGGCGAGTGCGGCACATCCTCTGCCTCGTCCCTTGACTTGCCCGCCTGGCGGGCGCACCCGAAATTCACCTAGAACCGTCCTGGGACGCACCATGGTCTGCAGTTGGGACGCATCACCCTCAAGCTGGCACGCTCGGCATTGCGTTGTCCTGTTGTTCCGTCGCCCCCATGTTCCTCCCTTCATGTTGGCTTTACTCACCTGATTCTCTCTGAACGTGGTCTGCTTCAGGTGCACCCGCGATTGCCCCTTTTCATATTGGAAAGAGCACGCAGAAGCCATGTGTTCGCAAGTGTGGACTCCAAGTAGTGAGTGATTGAATTTGGAGGTGCAAGTACTGCGGTCTGAGCTATGTGGTGTAAGCCATATCGCGTAAGCTACGTTGCATAATATTCGTTGTGTGAGCTAGATTGGGCAAGATTATTTGAATGCGATGTTAGTTATGTTGTGTGGGATGCAAGCCACGTGGTGTAAGCTATGTTGTGTAAGTTTTGATGGCCGCCTACACGGCAGACCCCTTAGCAATAGCCGTCGGACATATTCGGGAGCAGGTTCGGGGCTGGCGGTGGGGTCGCGGCATTCGCTGATGAATTTGTGGTTGCGGTCGCTGCCGAGGGCGGCGGGCGGGTCGGCATCGGGGTTTTATGCCAGAGACAGCCACGCGGGTCTCAAAAGTTGCCGAAAGAATAAGTGGAGGGTTGAGCCGTGGAGTGTTCGATGGGGTTCCCAGCGTGGCTCCTAAATTTCAGACGCCGTCCCAACGGATCCCAAAAGGGGCACGAGAGAGCATGCATTGTCATCGGCATCCTCGTCGTCTTCCCCCTCTTCCTCTTCGACGTTCTCCTGCCTGGTATCAGTGTCTCTTGTGTCGGGGGTACGTGTGCCCACGTCGGAGCGGTTGTCAATCCTTCGGGCCGCCGCTGTTGACGCAGCTGTCGTGGGGGTCGCGGACTTCCGGGCTGTTTTGGATTACCTTGGGACCTGTTGTCGGAGCCGTTGTCGTCGGAGCTGCTATCAAAGCTGCTGGGGGAGGTGCCGCGGGAGCCGTCATCGGACGCCCTTGATGGGGTTGTTGTCGGGGTTGCCTGGCGAGTTGTTGTTAGAACGGCCGTTTGAGTTGCCGTCGGGGCTTCCATGGGAGCCGCCGTGTGAGGGATTCCGCCGTGTGGGGATTTCCGGAATGGAGAGGGAAGCGCCGCAATGTTAGGAGAGGTCGACATATACGGTCGTTCAAAACCAGTTGCGTCGATATCCGGACGTAGTCGGACCAAGGCAAGCGGCCAAGTCAAACGTTTTGCTTTGGACGCGGAGGGAGGATTGGCCGAAGAATTGCGAAGGATCGTCTCCTCCCTCCCCCTTTGCGAACGGCTGAAATACTCGTCACACCAACTGTAAACCCAGATGGCGGCTGGTAAGTTGGCCCCACGGCAGGTACGGCACCCTCCGACCGAAGTCCGTCTCCGTTGGCATCGGCCGCCTTCTGTTGAGTCATGAATTTTAAATTTGCGCACAGACAAATCATTTCAAACGGGTGGCATGGATGCACACAAAACGAATGTGTCCAAAGATCCGGGCAACAGATGGTAACTACCGAGGCGGATACCAACGTTGGAACCGATGGAACAAATCAAAGTGATGGTTGTTCATGCCCGTCTCTCTTCCTTCCTTTTCACCACAAAATGGTTCCCTTTTCATTGCAAAATGGTTCTATATATATGTGTATATATATATATATAAGACTGCATTCGCGCTGCGCGCCATGCACCTTGGTCCTTTGAGTTCCGCACGCAAGCGGAATGCGTGCGTGCGTACATGTGCGCATGCATGTATACACGCGCACGCGCATGCACGTTCCGTATATATGTCTAGGTGTATACAGTATATGTTCATTGTTGTACGTGTATACAGCGTACATATATAGATGTACATCTATATATATGATGTTATGTGTGTAAGGGTATGAACATGCATGTGCGACTCGTACGTGTTTTGTCGGTGCACGCCGGAGCAATGACTGGGTCACAATGTGGAATGTCATGGGAGCAAAATCGATGAATGTTGGCATGCGGAAACATCGTGGGGGTGCTTTCGGGGCCCTCGTTGGCCGTTTTGGCGCCTTCATGGGCCGTCCTGGGGTCTTCTTGGGCCGGCTTGGGGAGCTTGGGCCCGCTGGAGCCCCCTTTGAACCCATCTTGGGCACTTCCGGGGACCTCCCATGGCCCCTTTTGGGTCTGTGCTGGGAGCCCTTGGGAGGCCTCTTGGGTCCATTATGGGCTGTCTTGGGGCTCTCGTGGGCGATCGTGGGGTCCGGCTCGGCCTCTTGAAGCTGTCTTGGGGGCCTTTTGGAGCGTCTCCGAGAGGCGAATATGCTAAAATTGTAAGTTTTACGGAGGGAATGGGACGATTTGTGTGTTTTAAATGCCCCTTGGAAAGTTTTTTGGGGTGCCTTGGGGGTCTTTTGGGCCGTCCTGAAGCAATTGCAGTCCCTCTTGGAGCACTCTTGTGCTGTCTGGGGCCTCCCTTGAGCCTTTCTGATGATCCCTCTGATCGCTCTGGGTCTGCTTGCAAGGCGTATGTGGAGACCTGGAAAGCCAGGTGACCTTTTCGAAGGACGTCCAAGGGAGCCCGAGAACCCCAGATCCCGGGGATCCAGGTTTTGGGGGGAGGGAGAGTTTTCCCCCCCCGCGGGCTTGTAGAAATATAGAAAGAGGAAGATGTGTTTATATATATATATATATATATATATATATATATATAGATATGTCTATACATATCTATATATATATATAGACAGATAGATGGATGGATGGATGGATAGATAGATGTTTGTTGGAGCTTCGCGTAGATATCAATTCGGGAAAAGATGCAGACATACGAATAAGTTTTCTAAATCAACTGCACGGAAATATTTGACAGGATTGCCGATTCTAAATTAAAGCGTCACGGAGTTAAGAATGTTGGCGTAATGTAGGAAAAAATCATAAGCCAACGTCAACCGTTAAGAGATGCATGGTTCGTTGGTTCCAACTATGATCGCACGCAAAATGATTTAGTTTTCTATTTAATTGGTTCAAACTTTTTTCGCGTGGTGGGCATCATTCCTTTAAACAGGCGCACGTTGATTGATGTTGATCGACGTAATCTCACATGCACCTCGTCCCCCAGCAAACTGCACCGCGCAACTCAATAATAATTGATGAAGATTATTCCCTCCACACCACAACAGGCCAAACGGGCGGTCACGGAAGAAGAAATTGATGACAAAGAAAGGTCCATATCAAGTTTGGTCGTCATCTGATTTCCATTCGTGTGACAAGGCACCATGTTTTTTGTAGATGATATTTCCGGTTCGTTGTGAAATAACCATACATCGGCAGATATTGCGGAATGCATCGGGGTAATAATTCCGGAAAGGCATTAACCCAATTTGCCGAATACGCGGCCCGGCTTGAACGGCATGCGCGACGAAACCCAAATCCGGTTCGTCGCAGCCGCAGGTGAGAATCGAATGAAATATTTATTATATGAATGAATGCAAAAAAATATGAAATTGTTGCGGTTGTTGATTTGTTTTTGCAAGCGTGCAACCGAGAGAGAGAGAGAGAGAATCGTGGCTCGCAAAATGTGGATTGTTGTGCAAAAAAACGCGATAGCAGTCGCCTTGTTTGCATGAATGTTGGTTCCGCGTATATTTTTCGGCGTGCTTGCACCCCACAGCCCAACGGATAATCCTCGCCGTGTCTCTCGTAAGGCCATTTCAAAGAGTCAGCGGTTTAATACCACAAGTGATGGAATTCGATGTTGCAAGTTCTTAGGGGGCAGGTCGCCATAGCAGAATTCACAAATTTGTACTCAGTATTGCACTTGTTTCATTTTCTTCTGTTCCAGGTTCTTGCCAGTCTGTTCGGTAAATGCTGTTCTTGCGATTCTACGCGTTGAAGGCAAGAGAATGTCCCATTGCCCCCTTCCCATCGAACCATGGTATCTTTTGCCGTAGTTCGCGTTCCCCTGCCTCATTCGCCTGCCCGGGACGCGCAATTTGGAGGCATCCAGAACACTCCGTTTCCACGAAGATTTAGATATATATATATATATATATATATATATATATATATATGCAGAGGTATTCGACACAGATGGCCGCAATACAAAAACAATTTGACAAATTATTTTCTAAGATGGAGGCAGGACATGCCGAACTACAGATTCATTTGTTGTGAATACGTGTTTGAAGCATGAC